CGTGGCCCAGCCGCCGCCGGTGTTTTCCCGCCAGAAATCGGCGGAATCTAGGGTTTTCCCCGCCAAATCCGCCATTGGGAAGGTGTGGGGGGGGAGAGATCGAGAGCAGATGAGTTTTATTTCTCGGAGGAGAAACCAAGTACATGTGGCCAATTATTATCTCATTAAATTATTTTTCTAATAATTAAAATTAGAGGCAGGATCTACTGTTTTGCTTCGAACAGCGGATGGGATTAGAGATGTAATATTGGCCGTTTGTTTATTGTTTCGGTGTTTGGTGCTTGAAGTGTACAGCGGATCACAGAAACATGCGAAACGTGCGGATGTAATAGGCACACTTGTCAAGTGAAAACCATGAGAGTTTCCGCATCTTAAAGCGTGTGGAGAGCTGGTCCTTGCTCGTGGAGTTTAGGGTGTCCTTCGCAAAACACCCTATCTCAAACAAGTTCAATTTTGGACCAAGAAAAGGGTGATCCCGAAACACTTTCTTAGATTCAAAATAGAACCGGTTTCGTGATCAAATTTTGGTGTATAAAGAGCAAGACCGGTTCCGGCCATGTTCTTCGCCAAATAAGAAACCATTCAAAACTATGTCAGGTTTGGTCCTGACCCAGTTTTAAGTAATTGCCAAACACTCTCTTAGATTGAGCTCGCGAGTGCCCACTTTCTTAAAGAGTTGAAGCCTGGGAGTGGGGGGTGGGATGCTTAGTTTGATTTTGACTAAAGTAGTTCCTTTTTAATGATTAATCGTTTATGTATCAACCTTTTAGCATCAACAAGAGGTTGTTTTCGTGATTTCGATCAGCCTGTGGCATGTAAATGTCATGTTTTTTCAAAAAACAAACAAATGAAATTGTGCACGTACACACCATCTAGCTAGTAAGATTCAAACAACAGTACTTTCACGAATTTACAACAATGTTTGATGTTAATGATGCTAGGAAGCAGAGGCTTTATAAAATGCCATTCTCTAGTCACACATAACTACATAAGCAAGTGCCTACGATGATTAAAGAAAACGAGCTTACAAATATGATATGGGCTCACACAAGCTTTTTTATTTTTTTATTTTATAAAGAGCCTTGTGTGTATGCTTCTATGTTTGGTATCCACACGCCTAGTTTGGTTGGCTAAAAAAACAAGGAAATCAAAGAAAATGAAACATGTTTCTTTATAATAGGTTATTTTATTGTGTTTGGTTTACTTTTTAAAAGTAAGAAAGTAGATGAGTTGTCACCGTATTATTGGATGATGCGGGTGGTTTTTTAAGAAACAAATTTCATAACTTAGGTTGTTTGGTTGGCTAAAAAAACTAGGAAATCAATTATAATAAATCTATTTTATATAGTTGGTTCTTTTTTTATGTTTGGTTCATTCTCAAAACTAAGAAAAGAGATGAGGTGAGGTGAGTTGTCATTATATTTATGAGATGATGTGACTCGTATTTAGGGAAACTCATTTCATGATTTCATTGAGAAAATGGATTGAAATCAAAAATTAATGAGATGAGATGAGTTGTCACCAATTAATGAGATGAGATGAGTTGTCACCATATTATTGGATGATGTTGATGATTTATAAGGATGGAAATCAACTTTTAATGGTTTACGGAGTCATATTTCCTTTTATTTGATTCTAGGAAACCAACCAAACAGCCCCTAATCAAAATCCGAACTCTCGATATTGTTTATAGTATAAGCATAATCATCAATAGTTTAAAATCATTGCAAACTAAAAGACGGGGAGTTGAAATATACTCAGAAGCAGAAACTGCGAGATTGGTTGTATAATGTTGTTTTTTTCATGTAGCACCGTAGATGAAAATTTGCGCAAAGAGTATGCTCACATGATAGCAAGCAACACGATAAGTATTATCGAAACATGCTGCTTTCAGAACTTAAAGGTGGTACAAGCAAAAGAGCTGACTATTGAGAATTTCAAGCAGCTAACAGAACACTGTTTAATAAATGCCATTTGAGAAATAAGGATGATTATCACACAACAGGGGGGACTCTCAAGACTGCGTCATATTTTTGATGTTCCATGGGTTATATGTGGGGATTTTAATGCTACTTTATCATCAGAAGAAAGAAATGGTAGAAAAGGTTCTTGTAGAGATATCGATTCCTTCAGAAACTTTGTCTCCTCAAATTCTCTTATAGATATTCCTTTGTCTGGACGTTCTTTCACTTGGTCTAACAAGCGTCACAACCCTGCTTTGGCTAGACTGGATAGATTCTTAGTTTGTGCAGAATGGGATAGAAAACATCCTTTAAGTTTACAATACTCTATTTCTTCTGTTGGCTCGGATCATTCTCCAATTATTTTTGATTGTGGAGGTATAAAACCAAATCCATCATTGTTCAGATTTGATAAGAGTTGGTTTCACAACACCACTTTTGTCCCTTTCATTGAATCTTCATGGAAATCTTTTCATTGTCAAGGCACACCTGCTGACATATTTATTAATAAGCTCCACCTGCTAAAAAGAAGAATTAAATGGTGGAGGAAAAATGTTCATGGATCTCTTTTCTCTAAAAAAGATAGTCTGCTATCTAAAATCAACTCTATGGACTTAATTGAGGAACAAAGAACTCTAACTTCAACTGAGTTAGAAGAGAGGAAATCTTATCAATTTTCTTATGCCTCTATTGTTCAAGAGGAAGAAACTTACTGGCGTCAAAGATCTCGTATCTAATAGTTGAAAGAGGGTGATGCTAATACATCCTTGTAGGCATATAAAATTGCTTATAGGTCCCCTAGCACAGCTCGGCACAAACCGACGAACCAACGAGGCGACGAGATCGACGAATCGCACGGAAGCAACGGAATGAATCCACCCGCGTGCAGAATCAAGCTAATGAGTTGAGGAATCAACGAGTCATCCAACCGAGAGCGGACTCGGACGAATCACGATCGAATCAAGATCAATTTCGGACTCGAACTCAGAAGCGGATTTACTGCCAAATCAGGAATCCAACTTACTGCCAAATCAGATCATCAAATCAGAGTCTCAGGTCAACCGCAACACGGACAAACGAAACAACGGAAAAAAACGACTCGAAAAAGTCGGAAAAACACCGCCCGCGGGGGCTCGGCCAAAGCCGAGCCACCTCAAGGTGGCTCGGCCAAGGCCGAGCCACCTCGGGGTGGCTCGGTGGCCGAGCCACCT